AGTTTTCTAAACTGTATGAATAATGTAAAATTAAATTGAACTTATTAGCAAATCAGATGAACTTCTGCCTATGAAATGAGATCAGTATGATGTTCTTTCAAAGTGATTTGCTAATACTTATCTTTATTTTGACCCAACTTCTTACTATTAAAGCCATGAATAATATTAGCATAGTGTTGCAAATTGCATCAACTAATGCCTTCCCTTTTTCTAATCCAAGATTATCAATGAAAAATTCAAAAAGGTTAGTGTGATGTTCTTGCAAAGTGCATTTGCTAAACAATAACATCAAAAATATTAACATCTAGAACAGAAATTACACTTATAAAAATTCTAGTAACTCGATGACATGAAACCATAAAATCTACACTACAAGGAAGCCTAACAACAACACAGAACTGCTATAAATGATAAATATCTAAACAATGATACTGAAAACGCTAACACCTAGATCAACATTATACTTACAAAAGCTTAGTAATATTATGACCTCAAGTGATGAATCCTTATCTGTAAATAGTGTTCTAATCGGATTGATTTGAATAACCTAAAACCAACTCAGTTATAATGAATTTACTATATGGGTCATGATCCATCTAATAAATTTATTATAATCAGATTTGTTTTAGGTCATTTAGGCAAACCTGATTGGAGCACTATTCGTAAATGATATCAAAAATGATATTTGAAGTGACAAGCTTGCACTAACAGACAATCCAGAATTGCTTCAACAATAGCAACTCTAGCAACAACAATGACTCCAAAAGACAATTACTAAAGTGATAGAAAAAAAAAATTATTATTGATAATTATGCGAAATATAGATTATTTTAACTTCAATTTGTAATTATGCTAGAAAAGCTTAGCTAATGCTAATAAATGTCCATACCAGACATATTGGGCACTAGTGCCTCATGTTATGCCTAAACAAAAATGCTCAGCATATTATAAACATAGGCAGACACTATAAAAAGCAAAAATACATTTATATAACTTATTTGTTATATATATATATTATTACTTACCTAAATTTGCTCTTATAAGTAAAGTTTTTAAAGATACTAATCTATACTGATCTTTTTTTACAGAAGATAGACGAAAAGTTAAAGAACACTATAATATGTATTAAAAAAAAAATTTATTATGTAAAACCACGGGTTGCCAATTGACAATGTGGTTTTTTATAGTAAGAGTTACTTTAAAAATTTTTTTTTATGTTGTGTAACTCAGTGATCTTCAAGCCAATCAAATCGAATGTCCGTCATGCTGTTGCACACCAGGTGAAGGATCAGTCGTGTAACATCGATGTTGACAAATTTGACGTAGATTATTTTATTTTTTTGATGTAAAAAAAATACCTAATTTTTACGATGCCATGCATCCCTGCTAGCTAGGGTACAAATGTCCACTAACATCAAACCTCAGGCGGCACCTTGGTGTACGTGGCCAGATTACCTTACCACTTCAACAGCCCTGAATTTCGGAAGTTTTGGAGGTTTCGTGTATAATCAGTGTACGCCAGACTCTATTAAATGGGAATTCGCGAACGCTTCAATACGTAAGCGCGAATAAATTGACACCCACAACAAGTTGTGTATTTTAGATAAACGTTATATCTTTCATTTTAGGTAACAGCGAGCCGGAGATTTATCAACTTTCCCCACTTATCCAGACCTTTCCGCATACGCGTCGATATAGCCCAGTAAACTTCAATGCAAATATAAGAACAGCAAAAGAATATGCCGCACAATCTGTAATTTTAGTCATTGTATTTACTTTATAAAATTATCATCGATCGTTTGGGCTGCCGATTCATTCATTACGAATATGGAATTTCAATTTAGGCACAATTTCTGCAGAGCGTTAATCCAGAATTCGATATTCCGCAAGAATTTATGAAAGGAATTTTTTATAAAGAAGCTTACAATGATTATAAAAACGAAAAATATGATCCATATATGAGCAGCCAACTAATTTCAATTGGATATTATGAAAAAGACGCACAAGCGTTGAAAAAGTTTATCGCGTTTCCAATGGGTATTGCAGGAACAGATTTAAGTAATTAATTTCTCATTTTCAATGTTTCAAATCTTAAGGATTGAAATTAATTGTTTACTTATATCGTCATAATAAAGACCTTATACCTATATCAGAGTCATATGATGAACCATATGATAAAGAGCTACGAGGTTCATAATGTTATTTTCAATGTTTAAGGGTTAAAGGACTGACATTAACAGTTTACTTACATCGTCACAATAAAGACTTTATACCTACATCTGAGTCATATGATGAGTCTTATGATAAAGAGCTGCGAGGTTCAGAATATTATATTGGACGACATGAACTTAACTTATCAACTATGACTACGTTAAAATTTAAAACCCCAGTTAGACAAATTGCGTCATCTATTTCAGAGAGTTGGGAATTTAAATTTCCTAACGATGATAAAGTTACACCTTGTAAGGCCAATTTATATATTTTGTTTTTTCATGTAAGGATTAGATATCTTTATTTATTATGTCTTTTTATGCAGCCTTACTAGCTGTTCGTACAGCAACTGGAACAACATTCTTCCGTGCTATGAATACAGGATCAGATTTTTCATCCAGCACTACTCAAGGGTCAATTAAGCCAATTGCGCTAGATACGGTATTGAACCATAGTACTAGGACTAGTTTTGAACACACACATGTTGCTTTTAATCCTAGGTTATATGGTGAAGCTGCAATTGTAGATTGTGGTGGTGGTGTATATATATGGAGAGCAGAAAGACACCAAGCTCAAGCAAAGTAAATTTCAGAGTTATTCACGATATAATTACCGGTTGAAAAAGTTAAACTCACATAATAATATTTTCTCTTGATGTACTCTAGGAGTATCGACAAATACGCAATTGAAATAATTAGGAACCCTCAAGTTCATGAAGATGTATCATTAAAGGACCTATGGAAAACATGCGAATATAGCGCACACCCCCAATGTCTTTATGTTGCGTCGCGTGAAAGGATTGACCTCTTTGATTTTAGGGTAACTTATATGACTTATACTATCTACTATTAGACATTTATTGTGGCAACTGATGCTGAAATTGGCCGATGCCGAAATTTCGATTATTCTATTATGAAATTTTATCCTTCATAGTTTTTTTTCAGAGTTAGGACATAGATGGATGTGGATGTGGATTTTAATGGGTATTATGTAAATGAAATCCAACCCAAATTTTAGCAGTTAATTTCAGCATAAGTTACCACATTTACAGTAAAGTCTCACTCGGGCTTTTTTTTTTCAATCTTATAGAATGCGTGCAGCACACAACCTCTCAATATGTTCAGTACTATTGAAGGAGATCAAATATATGCGTTTCAGCATATGCCATACCCTAATTCGTTTCAATCCATTTTAGTAACGGACAATAAAGTTGTACTTTTGGATCAACGCTTTCCCAAAAGGCCACTACTCTCATGGGTTCATTATAATACTGACCTGCCCATTGGGCTGAACACATTAATAGACAAACAAAGTACGTATAATACAGCTTACAAAATGTGCGTTGTATTTATTATGACAACATTTATTTATTCATCCTAAAAATTGTAGCATCAACTATCTTAACATGGTCAAAAAATCCACCGAAGATAATGGCATTTCAGATCCCAACCTCCAAATCGGGACTAGTAACTGCGACTGGCTATCCCATTTTGGTTCCATCATTTCATACACATCCAACTTATTGTCGTTCAAAATATTTAAGAATTCCCAACCCATCAAGACTATATAAAATAGCCGAAGAATTTATACAACCTCAAACACTACCACCATTAGCGAGTGTACTTTTGCTACGTAATAATATTAAAGCGGCTAAACCTAGAAGTTTTGGTTCATGTTTCAGTGTGATCCAGTTATCGCAAACAGGAGCCTTATACACACAGATTTTTTATTCCCGGCTTCACACGTCTGTATTTCCACAAGCAAGAATACATTCAACAAAAGAAGACATGCAAATTGTCGAAATGCCACCGTCAGTGGCGAGTTTACAATTTATCGCAGACCAAGATGTTGGAACAAATCCTGAACTACAACTCAAATGTCACCAAAAGTGGCCTTTTGAAAAAATATGGAACTGTGAGTGCAGGCACTACTTGTCGCTTGGTTTTAAATTTAACTCAATGTTGACGAGCTTCTTATACATGCATGCTTTTTTCTCTTGCTAAATAAAGATGTCACTAGGGATTTTAAGTTACTTCACAATGACGAGACACCAACGGTTCTTGAAATTGGTTCTATGTTTTTATCATGGGAGCATGTAGAAAGATATTTTGAAAAGTATTGTCGGTTTTGTTATCGCCAGAAATCAATAACAACGGATACAACTGGGACGGTGTGCACAATAAGTTACACTTGCACGGAGGGTGCGATTTATGAGCGTTCAAAGCGTCTTAGAAAAATTGTACCATGCAGATGGAAAGTTACACTTGATAAAGCAAAGACTGATGCCAATATATATGTAACTAAATTTAGTAACAAGCATAATCACAAAACGTCTTCTCCTATATTTCACTCGAATCCGGCCAAGAAAACTGTTTTGTCTAATGACTATAAGTTTGATGTTCTCCAAGTTTTTTCACCAATGACCCAGAACGATGATATTTCGGCATGGGAGAATTTTTTTCGCAACAAACTTGAGATGGTTGATAATTTTGGGCACCCGATGACAATGTATCTTTTATTTTGATCTTTTTGAATTTGGATCTCCTACAGTATAGAGGAATCCCTTATACTGTAAGAAATCCCAAAACTTTGAAAGCTAAACAATATATTTTCTTGACCATAGTAAACAGATATGAAATTCTAAAAAGTATGCCGGGTACTCGATTAGAAAATCGATCCAAAATATCATGTGCCCAACAATTTGGCAATTTACATGTGATGGAAAAGGATAATGTGGAAATTTCGATCGATTGGACTAATATTGATTTAAATGCACTATTGGAACAATTATCGATTGTTTCCGACAAATTTTGTTCGTCATCCACAGTTCCAAAAATATATGGCTTCCCTTATTTCATTGTCACTGATGATAATCAATATGAAGAAGTAAATGATATCAATGCTGCTTTGCGAAATACCTATCCATTACCTTTACGCAATCAAGATGATGAACCTAAGGACATTTTACAGAAGAAAATCATAGATTTCTTGAATGGGACTTATTATTCAGAAACTAATGATAAAACTCAATGTCTTCGTGAATTTGCAATAGAAGAACTTATCCGAGATCTCACTTTCAGCTCTCACGCTTTAGTATCGAAATATGAACATAATTCGGAATATTCACTATCTTCAAATTTTCTTCCAATGTCAAAAGTCACACCAATATTTGAACCTTTTGAAACTTTTTCAATAAAATGTGATATATCGCGTAAAGGTAAAAATAAATTATCACAAGTTGATAAATTATTTGAGCTTACACCTACTGTACAGGCGTTGTTCGATGACTGGATTATCGGACAAGATGTTAAGGAATATGAATATCATTATCGACGTGTAAATAATAAACTCGTTCAAGAAACTATGACAACTTCTGGAGAATCAGATGGAGATCATTACTTAAGTATGCATACATCCGATGATCAAATGTCAGCATTTGAAGCTGATAGAATCGATAGTAATGAAGAAATTGTTACAAAACGGCTAAGGAAAAAAAGGTCGCGCAAGTCTGGATTTTTATGATCAAGATTGTAAATCGATAATAGCTATTAGTTATTCTTCATGAATGCTTCACACAGAATTTTAAAAAATACAGTAATTTAGACCAATTGTAACTGAGACCAATTGTAACTGAGATAAAGATGAAACTAATTTCACTAAATTTCACCAATAGTGATGAAATTATTTCAACATTAATTGTAACGGTAACAAAATTCAGAATAAATCGTGTTATCTTAAAATAGCCTTTTGCAGTTTGTGCATATCAAATTTGGTATAATGTGCAGTGCGCACAAGCATGCCGATACAGATCATGAATGCATCCATTATAATGATGCATAATTACATGTGAACGATTTTAAATGCTTTGATAAAATTTTCAATTTGTATTTGATTATCTATTTTGTTTCATGATGGAAATTTGAGAACGAATTATAATATACAACGCATCAATCAAAACGGGATTTTTCGTGCTTTTCTTATTTCTTTTCCCATGATATTAATCATTAAACTGCTTTATTCGTGAAGACGAAAACGATTGTTATATTTCCGATAAATGATCATTGTTCTATTCTCATTGTTGGGCTATATTTGTTATACCATACGTTATTGAGAACAATATGGCATTGTGGCTTCCCTGGTATTTGACATTTACTTGTTCTCATGGGTTGTTTATGGCTTGAGTACCTTTGTTTTCATGTCAAATGTCAAAAAAATAAAAAAATAAAAAAAAGCGCAAATCTTGCTTAAAGTTAACGGCTATTGTGTAATGTCCACGATACGGCGGTTGCACGAACATGCAGCCTTTAGAAAATCACTCTTGTTAAAACGAATTATTGATTTGGACACACGTGTGCGTCAGTCTTTGCCAAAAATTCACTGACAAATCGCAAGAACATTTTCACAACTTGAAACAATGAAATTCGATAATATAGATTACGCAGCATGGTGTCATATCATCACCATGTTAATAGAAACAATTGTGAATATCTTGGATTCCACAATTTGGCGGTTGTCTCGTTTCTTATGCAAACACACATATATGGATCACAGATCAACTCAAATGTAAGTCCACGAGTCTTTTATGTCTTTTCACAAAGAGAATTACAAGTTATTCGCGTAATTGTGCATAAGGTCTATCTGCCATCCAGATTTCCGGTTGCAATATGCAAAGCTCGCCTCTTTTTATTTCCCTTTTTTTTTTATGCATGGTGGCAGGGATCCTACGTATGTACGCACGTATTTAAATTTATTATTTATTTTAAAAAAAAAAAATGATCATAATGATCAATTGCGCTCGGGTAACTATTTCAAAACTGTAACGGTAATACGTAATATCAGAATTGAGAAATTTCAAGATCAATTATGGTAAGTGGCATGGCAGGTCTGCATATACGAAATAGTAGCATTTTTTTAAATTGCTTTTTTTGGAATTTCAGACCCTTGTCTTTTTGCAGCATTGTTTGTTCTCTTTAAATAGTGTGACTAATGGCTGGCTTAACCGAACGCTTTGAATTTTCAGGAATCTATTCACTTTTTTACTTTTTTACATTACTAAATATATGACATAAAATTTTCACATGCAAAAATAATCGAATTATATAATTTTTTTTTTTTACTTATTTACTGAATTTATATTTGTGCTTCGCGGCGAATATCATAATCAATTCAAACCTTATTTCTGCATTATTTATACTTTTTTTTTAACATAAATATCGTGACAAATTCATCAAGTCGTTTATGTTGATTCGCAACAACTCAACCCCTCCTCATTGATGTCCTTCGCAATCAATCATTCTTGTTTCTCTTTTTGAGATAAACGATTTTATACGAGGTCAGTAATCCATCATTATCAAGCCTCAAATACTTTTAACTAATCTAATGCATTCTTATTTATTTATCGGATTACAGCAAAAATTAAAATTTTGATCATTCAACTTTAACGAATTTCCAAACTACATCTCAAAGAAATCTTAAACCAATTTATATTCCCCGAGAAGAGTTTTAGTTACGACATCGAATTAAAAAATAAACTATCACGATTCATAATCATATATCCAATGGGTATTATTTCATATGTTGGTAGTTTCTTTTCTTCCCCACCGCCGAACCAAAAATTCGCGGATCGTTATGTACTTGTTACTGGTTGTGATTCCGGTATCGGAAATTTGATTGCAAAGGCGTTGCATAGGAGGGGTTACTCTGTACTCGCAGGTAAAATACATATATATGCTTTTCTAGATTTGGAAACTTCAATCCTGCTTTTTTTAAACTCAATTGCCGTATTTCTTTCATCGCATTAGGATGTCTCACCGAGGCAGCTTTTAAAGAATTCCTAGAATTTAATGAGCATCATTCTACTACCAACCTCAGACCTTTTTTAGTTGATGTCACGAAAGACACTTCCGTCCAACAATGCGCTCGTATGGTTGTTAATGAAACAAAGGATAAAGGTCTTTTTGCCTTGATTAATAATGCTGGATGTAATGAAGGTTTCGCTTTTGAATTTACTTCAAATGATCAAATTGCGAAAACTATGGAAGTAAATTTTATAGGACCAATCAAAATTATAAAGGCATTGTTACCTAGTTTACGACAAAACATCAAATACAACCTTAAAAAACCTGCCAAAGATCAAGATATATTTCCGCGTATTATCAATATGACTTCCATATTAGGTCGAACTACCGTACCTTTCTATGGTGCGTACAGTGCGTCAAAACACGCCTTGGAAGCTATGTTAGATACGATTCGAATTGAATTGTTACCTTGGAAGATTCACATTACCATGATCGAGGCGGTCCCTATTAAAAGCAGATTTAGTCATCCAGATCTTGTCGAAGTATCCAAGAAATTTTTCGCTTCTCCCGAAATTACTGAACAAACCCTTACCCTTTACGGTGAGGATTATGTCCAAAAAGCTATCGAATTTTGGCAGAAACTTCATTCTGGTCAGGATAGCCCAAAAGCAATAATTAGAACAATTATTGAAGCGATTGAAGTTGGATTTCCTAGGGATCGTTATGTTGTCGGAACTCTTGCCAAGGTTCATGTTTTAATGAACAACGTTTTACCTAGATGGGTCATTGACTTGGCTTGGGGCAGTATGATTAGGTTGGTTGGTGTTTGGCCAAAAGAGGTCAAAGAACTGGAAGATGGTGTTGCCGAGAACACTTCTACTTCTTCAAACTCTTCGTCTACAACTCCACCCTCTTCACCAAAAGATTAATTGTGATCATTATTTGAATTTCGTTATTATCTTCGAATTTATTTTATTCGTAAAATTCGCTATTCTCTTATGAAAAAATTTAATCCATCTTAAAATTTAACCAATACTAATATTATTACAATTTTTTGATATCGATATCATATGCTTAAGCTTATATCACACATATCTGGTATTTGTGTTGCTAAGTCGACATGTGAACAGAATATCGATTTAATATTCTTTAACACTTGGTTTCTTGGAACTTCCTCCTGTAATTTATGTAATTTATGTAATTTATTTAAGATAACATTATTCATGCAAAAAAGGAAAAACATATGCAATTCAGATCTATAAAGTCTATACGTACATGTATATTTGTTGCAAATTTTAATATTATATATTTTCTATTGCTATACCGTTTTATACTTGACTGTAATTAAATTGGTAATAACTTGAAGCCAGATTTTCTTTTATTGAACAGAGAAAATCAGTGTGTGCTATACAGTTTCGCTTTTTTTGGCCTGTTCATATATATGTAACTATTTACGTCTTAGTCTGGTTTTAAATTAAATCATATAGTAAAATTTTATTTTGCCGACAAGCCACCTAACAGACATCACATAAAGTGACAATTTACAAATAATACGTAATGCTCTAAGAGGCATTATAGCGAATGGAGGTAAAATGACGAATTGATTACAACAAAACACTTGATTTCACTTACTAAGTTGTTCAAAATTTTATTTTCATTTAATGAGTGAAGTTCGATTTATTTAGTAAAAGTATAGGTTATGTTCAAAATGTTTATTAACTAAAGAAACCAGAAAGTCAAGAAATATATTTATATATGTATTGCTGATTTACGTTCGCCACTTGGCTCGAGTACCTATTACTTGAGAAATTTAATCTAGGAGTTACAGTAAGCTGTTAGCTCTAATGCTACTAAAGCAGAGATGTTTAGTAGTTCTTTTAAGCAAATCTCTTAATTTGTTAGAAACTTTCTAAATAAATACACTAGTGTTTGCAAATAAAATAATATTTCTTGAAGAATTGAGAAATATAAAGACAGAGAAATAACTGACTGTAATAACTTTTTGGTTTTCTGTCAAAATGTTATAAGTAATATAATCTTTTTAGTATAATATAAATAACATATTATATAGTAACAGAATTTGTAATAGTAGCAAGTAGAATATTATTTTATTAAGACAATTTTTAGATTTATTTGATTATAAAAAAGAATATAGATTATTTATAATACATTGTTTTTTAAATACAAAATTATTTTTTCTTTCTGTTAACCTTTTTTTCTAAAAACAGATAAAGCAAAAAAAACAGTAGTTAGTCAAAATCAATTTAGAAAATCTGTTCTAATAGTTTTTTTAAAAAAAAAACAAAAAATAATATTCCTTAAACTGTAGACCATTTTCAGAAAAATTTGTCTAGAAAATTAACAAAAATATACTTATAATCTATATTTTTTAAATTTTAAAATATTTAAATGAAATTTTTTTTTATAACTTTGGTGACAATGTCAGTTGGTTTATTAGCTTTAATTTGATATATAGTACAAGTTTTATGGTTATATTTTTAGGATCAATTATTACTAATACTATATACTATCTAATTTTATATCACTAACTTCACTCAGTTACCCTTATGACACCTAAGTGCATATCTGTTATATGCTTGCATACAGTTATCTTGACAACTATTTGCAGTCATAACATATATTAAACCACTATATAGACAAGAATACCTATCAAACTTAATGTGATATTCCAAATGTCTGGAGTACTGTCTTCTGTAAATCATATCTATATGTTTCACTCACATATTTTACTTGGTCTTGTTTCTTCTGCTTTCTAATCTAACTATATCTAGTATTATCTTATTCTTCATATTTTTTTTTTTTTTAAAAATATTAAGGTGAGTACTTGTGATCCAGGATTTTATTGATAGTATATTCAGCTAATGGTTGCATTACAATCACAGAAGGCAATCATAGAAAGAGTATACAACTAGCCACTCATACAACTTTAATCATTGTCTAATTTAAGTAGTCCGCCTGAAGGTTCTATACTAGCTGCCATACCTGAAACCCACTTGTAAGTTCTCTATTTAACCACTCTGTTCCTGTATCTACCCACCTACCTATACCTACCAATATGCCCTAGTCGATACTGGTTCAAATATGCCATGGTTACTAAGTCTTTAAAGTGGTTCACTCATATGGGGAACCTTTGACCTTG